GGGGGGGGGGGGGAGGGGGGCGTTGTCGGTTGGGTCTACCCGATCCCTCCACACCGCACCCCCCCCCAAACGGTGATTCGCGCTTGGCTCAATGGCAGCTGAGTCGGCAGATGGTACCCCCACCCCCCCGCGTTTCTTCGTCTCCAGTGCTTCGGGTAGGGCCGATGCCCTCAACACTACCGCCTAACAATCCCCCCCCTCCCCAAGGAACTTTGTCGCCGATATTTCCAGCATTTCTTCAACAGACCAGGTACACTATGTACGAGGCAAATTACAAATTACGTCTCTGGTTGAGGTTTGTACTTATCGCGTAAACACGTGGCGAGATTGTTGAGAAGGGGGACCATCGGGTGCACCCGTGATCACAGGGCCGACCAAATCAAAGCGAGACACGCGAAACATGGAAGAAGAGAACAACATCAGTTTCCCCGCCGTGCCCGCGTGCGCGATTCAATTCAGCCCACACCTCGTCCGGTCCCGCCCCCTTGGACGCCTGGCTCCTGGCCGACTTAGCCGCGTACACGCGTGTGGCCCAGTCCTGAGACTTGATGGGGTAAGCCTTCCCGGGCTTGATCAACGTCTGAGGGACGGCCACAAGAGCGAAGGAAGGCGGTGGGGTGGTGGTGGTGGTTATGACACCGTCTTTGTGGGGTCTTGGGGGAAGTTTAATGTGATCTGGACTTGGATGGAACGAACGCAGCCCTTGGGGGGCGGGGGGGGGGGCAGAGAGAACACGATTCTGAGCAATGGTGTTGGGTCCACGAAACAATTGCAGCCATGAACATGCACCGGCCGACCCAGATAGATGGATGGATGGAGAGAGCTTTCCCCGAACACAAGCAGCAAAGGTCGTGTCTTGCAAACCCGGGATATCTGCACTGATGGTAGCTCGGACAATAGACGCAGGAGGGGGTAGAGTTCTTTGCTTGGCAACGCCTTTGGAACACAGCCACGTCCAGATGGAGAGGCCTTGTCATTCAGCAGCTTCCAGACGACTTGGCAGGGGCATTGGTAGTACTACGATAGTTGAGAAACCGGGCGTGGGGGATGGTTTGGGGCACGGCCTATGGAAGGAGAATGTAGCTGAAATGGTTCGTACAAAACAAGACCGATACACAGTTGTTGTTGTTGGTTGTTGTTGTTGTCTTCGTAATAAACACCGTTCCGGTCTCCGCTCAGTACCTTCTAATACAGTACCCGCACTGGTCCAACTCACGCGGCCTCCTTCCGTGGTCGCAAGCCAATAACCCCCAAAGACGGGTACCACACCTTCCCAGAAGTCACAGAACAGCAGCAGTAGTGCGGCGACTGAAAAAGACACCCACCTCGATTTTCTTCGGTGGCGAATCGTCCGGAACCTTCGTCTCCCCCGTGACGGCGTTAAAAACCTGGTACAGCACGAGTACAATACATATGATGCACACGTAGGTAGTGACGAACCTAGGATGAAAACCCGTGGAAAACCCGTGAAAAAACTCATGGAAAACCCATGGAAAAATCATACCGAGTAGTGCAGCACAAGTATGCGTACGTCGTGACGCCGCCAGGAAAGAAAACCCATGGAAAACCCATGAAAAAACCCGCACCGAATCCGACGAAATTCATGCCAAGACGACTACTGGGGTGGGTGGGCGAGTGGTGACGGGCGCGCTTGCTTCCCTCCCAGCTGTAGAAAACAAAACAAAAAAACAGATGGCCGCGCAACCATTGGCTTGCCTACCGCCTCCCGTGGGCCCCATGGTTTCCCAGGAGGGGCGTTGACCAACCGTTCCCACGCTGAGTTCCCTATGCCGACTAAAAATAGCAGACGCGTGTGAGCAGGTTTCGCGGAAAGAAGAAAGCCTCAAGAGTCAACGCGGAAAGTCTCCAATTAAGAGTCGGTTACGAGCCATGCTGCAGGACTCGCTTCTTCGTTTCGGCGATTCGCCTCTCTGCTAAAACGCCGCAGAGATGGCAACGGAACTCCGGTAACCTCGCTGTGGGGTTGACGTGTTGGCTCGCGCCAGCAACACCATGGGCGGGAAGGCTGTGTGCCAGCGCGGCAAACGGGTGGGGTAGCTGAAGCCGGCGGCGGCGGTGGCGGCCGCGGTGCCGCCGTCGCCGTGGGTGACATGACCGAGTCACGGCAGATTTCGCGTCGTGTGGCAAAACAAAAACGTTTATCATCCTTGTCGTACAGGATTTCGTTATGTTGGCCTGTCTCGGCGGATGCCATCATCAAGACACCGCCAGCCAAAGCCTTCACACCCTACAACAACAGTCAGACATGAAAAAAATAAATAAATAACAAGAACACACAAAAAAGCGAATCTCACCGGACAGCGCTCGCCATGGTTCCTGGTCTCCTCCTCAGCAAGGCCCCGGGTGTCGCCACTCCCGCCGCCACCACTCCCGCCGCCACCGCTCCCGCCGCCAGCGCCGCCCAGCAGCACCCTCCCCGCGCCGCACACGATCAGGGCAGAGACCGCCCCGACCAAAGCCCCCCGCCACCATTGCCCCCTGCTGCTGCCGCTGCCCCTCCCCCTACCGCCCGGCCACCCAGCGGCGGCGCCGGTGGGAAGGCGCGAAGGAGAGTTCAACGGCGACGGCGACGGCGGCTTGTACTCGGTTCGAACCGGGCGCAACATTCGCTTGCCGGCGGCTCGGCTTGGGGGCCGCCGCTCCTGAACCAGGTCTGGCGGTCGCAGCAGTATTTTTTCCCCCACGACGCGGTGGCGGTTAAGAGCGCCTCCCAGCTAGAGGCGAAGGGCGTAGATAATCTTTATCGCAATGGTGCCCGGCGTCCGAAAGCGGAGGGCCAGTTAGGGCTTGGAGACCGAGCGGTTGGTTAACCGCGGGCGGTTGACAACGCCACAGCCGCTCTCCTGCCCCGTCCTCCCTCTCACCACGGCAACGCTCGAAAATTGGAACTCCCCGCCCCATCCACAGCGTGGTGGGGTCGTTCGTGCCGCCTCTTCTGCTGTTGTTGCTGGCGAGGCGGTCCGTTCCCCTCCGTCAGCAGTCAGCAATGCGCTGCGTTCTTGCAGCTGGAGTTGTCGGCAGGATAGCGTCCTGTATGCACAGAATCTTCTTGGAAACTTGCGATGGTTTTGGCGAGAGAGAGAGAGAGAGAGGACGACAGGGAAAGACGGCAGGGGGAGGGGGACGAAGTTTTGGCGACGGCAATACAGAGAGTAAAACCCACACGTGTCATGATTAGTGCCCGCCGCCGAGGAGGGAGGGCTCTGTGACATTGTTTTGCAAATACATTGCCCTGTAAGGGATGCCCGCAAGGCTTGGGGGAAAATCTCCAGCCATGAAGAGACACTGGCGAAGACGCCTGGGTACAGAGTGACAGTCGGTCGTGGCTCGCGGACACAACATCGAAGGTGCAGCTTTCTCCGTTTCTCAAACAGAGGCAAGGGTGGGTGAAGCTCACCAAAGAGCATCCTGACGCCCGTGTACTGCTGTTGGTTGTTGCGAAAACCAATCGAGAGTCAAGTTGTAGTACAACCCGTTGGAAGCCATCTTTGCACGATGCCAGAAAACAATCCCAGGCCTTGAGCCCAGCAGCTTTAGAGAAATAAACTCTGTCTCCTTGACGTACCGGACCGGGAGAATCACCGGATCGGTGTCGTACGTAGTTCGTACACCCGCTCATCCCGAAAAACGCAGACCCGGTAGAAGGCCGCCCAGATCCTGTTTCACCGTCTTGCTAGACTCAAAGTGGCACTCATCTAGAGAGGCAGCCAAGATTTGACAGTATTCCAAGAGGCAACAACACTACTGCTGTAGGTGTGGAGACCAAGTCGTCACCATGATATTCGATATTGAGGATTATGTTACCGGTACCCACTGCGGTACACTTGGGCGTTCGTGCATGTCCCTCTCTCTGCCGTCGATCAATGCATCTCCGCTACAGACAACAGCACCAGGTGGTGTGATGTACCACCATACGCGCAGCAATTCAGGATTTCGGGGACAGAGAGACAGAGAGCATGTGTTTTTTTGCAAAGTTCAGAGTTGACCTGCAATATCATTAGAGTCATATCATAACCTGGCAACTGGCAATAGCAAGACACGGAGAGCTTGCTGAGATCCAAGCTCCTCGCTTCGTAGCAAGCGGGGGTAACTGGTTTTCGTCGGCGGAACAACCGTAAAACGGAGAACCGCCCTATTGGCTTCGGAGATTTCGGCTCTACCGGACACACACACATACCTTTTGCTTTTTCCCCTTGATCTTCTCCAGGTTCCCGCTGTGACCAACAGCACTCTATCGGGCAGCACTCCCCCCCCCGCGGACCCCTGCTGATACACGCTCCACGCACAGGCTTGCAAACTTGCTCAAGATTTGATTTGATCAGAGAGACATCTTCGCGCGCGCGCACGGTTGGAACCATGGTGATCCCATCTTACTTTCCACGAAACCCGTCCATCTGCGGGTGCCCCCCAGAGACAACCAACACGCAACAGCCGAGCACACAACGCAGCTCCGAGAGGGAGCTCGAGACCAGAGTTTCTTCTAACGGATCGGCGCCGCCTCTTCGGGGAGCCGGTCTTCTTCTCTACCAACCGAGAAAGAAGGTGGCTGGGAGGGTAGCTACCCCCAGTCTACGGCTTTTCTCGGCCATCTGGTGAACGATGAGCGAAAAGCGACGCGTATCGTACTTTTACCAGGGTGAGCGAGAAACCTGCCAGAGGTCGTTTGTTGTCATCTCTCTCTGTCCGTAGGATCCACCGGGCTTTACACAGGCAGCGCCTAAGAAGGCTGCCGCCAGGTAGATCGACTACGCCAGAAGCTAACCTCTGTTTTTTCAATTTCGAGGCCTGGACTTGTGGGCTCGGAAGCACCCCGAGTACTCACATCACCTATTTAGTCTATCGCTGACCCCTGGCATGGGCAAAAGAGCCGGTAATGTTTGGGTAAACAACATTGACCTAAACGGCACCGAGACCAGACCATGCTCCTTGTGCGTGTGTGTATCTGGAGAGCTATTGGAAGGCACCTTGGGTGGCCTTTGCATCGGCTGTAACTGTTGGGACATCACTCCTTCGCCGTGACTCGTTCGCCGTGCTATGGTTCGTTGTCGGAAAGTGTTGGCGACGGTAGAGGTAGGGGTTGGTGCGGTGTTTCATCCATGGGGATTGCTGACGTGAGGTTGGTCTGTGATGTGTTTGATGCGCGCTCTAGCATAAGAAGTACTAGATAGCATGCGGGGGACGGCACCGACACATGTGTTTGTGTCGGCGCGTAACGTGGCACGCATCAGCCGCGAATAGGTGCTGCCCGTTTTCGGCCGATACTGGTAGTACAAGTCAGTCTGTTTTCTTTCGGCGAAAAAAAGAAAAAATTAAAAAATTCACCCGAAACGAAGGAATGGGACGGACGACAGCAGTGGTCATGCGAATATCCTCAAGGCACATTGCCCACGCTATGTAGCATGCCGACAGCTGGTTGTGTGTGTATGCGTTAGCGGTCAACATGATTGCATCCGTAGGCATGAGACACACACGTGTCTCACCTCCCCCCCCCACAAGTTGACCCACATCAGTGTAGGGGCACAGAGAATGCGAGCTCTTGACCCCCACCCCCCTTGCCTACACAATGCGAGTTTGATGGAAACTGGTAGCGCCGTTTGTTTTTTGGGTTAACGAACAAGTGTTACTACTCATATGAGGACCGAACTCCCGCTCTTATCGTTGAACGCAAGGAGATGTGTGTGTGTGTGTGTGTGTGTGTGTGTGTGTGTGTTTGTGTGTGTTTGTTATTGTTAGCATCGACCGCGCTAACCGGCTGACAATGAATAGACGTCAGTCTCAGTGCGGCTGAAAACACAAAACACTTCTAAATGCCATTTATCATGGGGGAGACTGATCTATTCTCCGGGTCAAAGACTGAAACGGTAGCAACAGAAGAAAGCTGCACGCGTCTACGAAGGCTGGGTAGCTTGCACTCGACTTCGTTTTGGAGTGCTTTCACCATCATCCTCCTTGCTTTCACTGCTACCATCATTCTCATCATCATGCTGACAGCAATTCTCTGGCAGTTCTTCTCTGGCCCTGCGTCTTTTGTTGTGGGGAAGATCATCCGGCTCGAAGCTCTTGCTTTCTTCCACGCCATGATTCCCTCCTCGACTGCTGTTTTGGTCTCTGTCTGTGTGTGTGTATTTTGTATCACCATGGACCGCATTAACCGACTGACCAAAGGAAAGACATCAGCCTCGGTGCGGTTGAAAACACAAAACACTTCCAAATGCCATTAACTGGGACCCCGTGAGAGGGCGGCAAGGGAGAGGCTAAGCTATTCTCCGGATGAAAGACAGAAACGATATGTACCAACAGAGGGAAACTGCACGTGTCTACCAAGGCTGCTACCCTGCACTCGAGTTCGTTTTGGAGTGCTTTCACCATCATCCTCCTTGCCTTCACTTCGCGATCACTCTCATCATCATGCTCACAGCTATTTTTCGGCAGTTCTTCTCGGAGAAGAACTGCCGAAAATAGCTGTAAAAATGACGATGGGAGTGATGGTAGTGAAAGCAAGGACGATAATGGTGAAAGCACTCAACACGAACTCGCGTGCAAGGTAGCAGCCTTGGTTGACACGCGCAGTTTTCCTCTGTTGTTACATACCGCTTCTCTCTTTAATCCGGAGAATAGCTTAGCCCCCTCCATGCCGCCCTCTCACGGGGTCCCCGTTCACGGCATTTAGAAGTGTTTTGTGTTTTCAACCGCACCGAGGCTGACGACTTTACTATCTGTTTTTTTTTTCTAGTGTTATTTGCGTTGACCGCGCAACATAACTGGATAAAGGTCAGTCTTGAAGGGGGATAAAAAACGCGAAAACGCTCTCTAGTAACCAAAAGGTTCTACCGACAGCAGCAGTGTGTGTGTGACTTCGAATTCAAACCCAAGTTCCTCACCCCCGTCGCCTCTTTTTTCGTTTTTCCTTGCTCGCTCGTTTCATGAACATCACCCAGGCGATATCGGGCACTACTACTATGGGCCCGGTCACCCGATGAAGCCTCACAGGCTGAAACTAGCCCACCACCTCCTCCTGTCCTACAACCTGTACCGCGAGATGGACGTCTACAGACCCCACTTGGCGAGCAGCACGGTGAGCCAGCCCTTGCTGTTAGTGGCGGGCGATGTTTTACCCCGGTTGGCGGTGTTGGTATGACAGCAGTGTTTTGCTACGAGCTCTGTCCGGAAATATGGGGACCATGGTGGTATTCGCGTTTGTATCCGAATGGCGCTTGTAATTTCGAACAGAGTGGTAGGTTCGTGCTGATGGATGTGGTGATGCTTCATGCTCTGGTGTTGCTATTTTTTGCTGTTGTTGCGTGCTGGAAAAAATGTATCGATGGCGGCCGTGGCTGTGTTGTTGATTGCCATACGGTCCCCACCGTCACGTGGGCATATGCGCACCTGCCTACCTACCGGGCGGCACGTGGAGCATGCACACCGTGACGCAGCGCACAGGCTCCAATTTTCTTCTTTGTGGTTCTCCCATCTACTGTATGTCGATGAATTAAAACACCCCTACGATATGCAGTCCCTCCTGTTTTTTTTTTGTGTGGCATTTGGTGCGGTTTTATGAATGCAGCTTGTGTCGGCGGATAGTTTCCGTTGTCGTCGTATCAGGAGCCAATGGACGCATAGATTTTCAGATTTCTGCTCAGCGTCGCCATCTCGCTGTTGTCTCCCTGGGCAACCTTGTTCGGTTCCATGTTTCAACGGCCCCGGTGCCCCCCCCCTACACCTCCGGTGTTCCCTCCCCTCCCCTGTCGCCTCGATGGATCAACTTGCAGGAGCTGATGCGGTTTCACCAAGCGGACTACGTCAACTTCCTCGAGAAGGTCATGCCCGGGCCCGCGCGCGGTCAGGGGACTGGTCCTCAGGTGAGCTCCGCGTCTCGAGCGAGGCGTGCGACGTGGCGAGACACCTCTCGCCGATGTACTCGTGCGCTGCAGGGCTTTGGCGGACTGCGATTCGAGTTCGTGCAATGACTGTGTAGTGGTTGAAGAAGAAATATTTGGGAGTTGTGCGCGACGTTGCTTCTGTACATGTACATTGGCTGCAGCGTATGGGGCAAGATATTTATGTGCGGCAATTCCATACAAGGGCGTAAACATGTTCTATGTTGCCCCCCCCCCCTCCCCCTACTTGTACAAGCAACTATTTTCCCCGACCTCCCACGCTCCTTCCCCGTTCTATCTCCGGTGGAAACCCGCTACGCGACGAGCAGCAGCAAACCAAGTTCAGCGTCGGCGAATTCACCGATTGCCCGGTGTTTGAGGGTCTCTACCGATTCTGCCAAGTGAGTGAAGTATTAATAGACGCTTTTATCTTCATGTCCAACTACTGTACGCGAAGCATTTTTTCCAAACGTTGTCAGGAGTCCACGTCCGAAAACCAAACTAAGTGGAATGGCATCCGGGCGGCTGCTGTTGTTTAGAAACACCGCCCGTGGGTACACCAACCTCTGTTTTGTTTTTTTTCTTCTTTTTTTTTTTTTTCAGTCTTACACCGGAGCGTCGATCGACGGCGCGATCAAGCTCAACCACGACATGGCGGACATCTGCATCAACTGGTCGGGCGGTCTTCACCACGCCAAGAAGGTGAAAAACGGGAAGGAAAAACGAAAAGACGCAAGACAAGGCGTTTCTCTCGCTGCTGCTGCTGCTGCTGTGCTCGGGATTCCGCGTGTGCTGCCGTTCTTTGCACGTCTAGTTTTACCTTGCCACACACAGGTCTTTTTTTTTTTTTGTTATCTGTGTATGCATACCTCCTCCTTCGTGCATGGTGCTTGTTGGGGCGTGCTTACCTCGCTGGGATTAGAGGGAGGTTTTGGCAGAGAGGGGGGGGGGTTGTTCCACCTGCCGCCACGGGTGTACGGGAGTTCGGGGCTCGAGCACGACGACGGTTTGTAGCAGCAATATCGCCGATGACATTTATAACCGTTCGTATATGTGTGTGTGTGTGTGGTTTGCTCAGGCCGAGGCATCGGGCTTCTGCTATGTGAATGACATCGTACTGGCCATCCTCGAGCTTCTCAAGTACCACTCCCGCGTGCTGTACATCGACATCGACATACACCATGGCGACGGGGTGGAGGTGCGCTGTTGCTGCTGTTGTTGTTGAGATTTTTGGTCGATGGTTAATTTTGTGGATCGCTTCCCCATTCAGTGGGCGATTTGGTTGCGTACGCAGGTTGCATACTCCAAACCAAGACTTCTCTTCGGAGTTGCCTTGCGGATTTTTTTCTCTCTTGTTCCTCCTCTGTATTATTTTTTTTTTCGTTTTTTTCTCCATGACAGCAACATATAGATTTACATATTTTGTTAGCACATACATACATGTGCGTGTTCCTTTTCCCATCCGTTTCTTGCGTTTGTTTGCTTTTCCAGGAAGCGTTCTACACGACGGATCGCGTGATGACCCTATCGTTCCACAAGTACGGCGACTTCTTCCCGGGCACGGGTGACATCAAGGACGTCGGGGCGAAGGTGATCGACCACTACACGGTCGCACATATATTCTTGGCATTCTTCTTTTTGGCGACGCCTGCATGCGAGTTCCTTGGGCCCTCTCCTGTTTTTTTCATGTACCCGAAGGATTGTACCATTCGGTGTAGCGTGTGTGTGCGTTTTTTTTTTCTGGGCAAGTGAGGCGAGGTGTTTGGACACTATTGTAGCAGAAACAATAAAATAATCGAAGCTGTTGCGTGTGCCTCTACTCCGCGATGATATCCTTCTTGATCTTTTGATCGAAAATCCCGATTGCCCTTGATGCGCTTACTGCTGCAGTCCGGCAAGTACTACTCGGTGAACTTCCCTCTGCAAGAAGGCATCGATGACAACAGCTTCGAGAGCATCTTCAAACCCGTCGTCAACAAGGTGAGGCCAACTCTCGAGACCTTCGCTTCCGGAATTGTTTTGATTGTGCGAGAGCGGAGGGGGCGGCGGGGGGGTAGTTCAGGCAGACACCACAGAGCGGGAGCTGGCTGGCTGAAGACAAACTAGACCAGGTAACACTATAGCCTTTCCCACGCGCCATCATGGCCTCGTCTTTGTCCTACATACATGGCGGAGAACCTCCGGAGAACCTTCTGTAGAACTTTCCTCTCATTGTTTCCCTTCGGTACGGTGCCTGGTCTGTAGCGACTTGCTGTTTCCAGAACCAAGTCCCTCCATTGAGACCCCCTCCCCCCCCCCCACGATCCTTCCCGATCTATCGTGCCCCCCCCTCTTCCTCCCTACCCGCCCACGACCTTTTTTTGTGGGAACAGGTGATGGAGATGTACCAACCGTCGGCGGTGGTGCTGCAGTGCGGGGCGGACTCCCTCACGGGAGACCGGCTGGGCTGCTTCAACCTCACGCTCAAGGGACACGCGGAGGCTGTCAAGCACGTCAAGAGCTTCGGCGTGCCAATGCTGGTGCTCGGGGGAGGGGGCTACACCATCCGCAACGTGGCGAGGTGGGGGTTGGGGTCGGGTCGGGTGGTGGGACAGTGTGTGGTGCTGGTGCCGGTGCCGGTGCCGTTGGCGATACAGGATGAAGCACTCTCAGTCCTGCATTGCTCCACCTCTCAATATTATGCTGGTGGTGCTTTTCACTTTGGTGTTGTCATAATGCTGTCGGCCCTGATGGAGGCTTGATGTGTGTTTGAGGTGTTTTGAGTTGTTTCGGGGGCGTTCAGGATCGACAGGTGTTCGGGTCTTGTCTTGGGGGGAAGTGTTCCAAGGCGCGCCGTCGCCTTCACGAAGCCGTGTTTCCTGCTGTTTCTGTAGAGGCGTGTTTTCGTTCTGTGTTTTTTCTCCGCCTACTCGTTGTGGTGGCGAGACTGCAGGGTCTATTGGCCGAACTGGGGGTTCTGCTCTACTCATGTGAATCATCAAATCTTCCGTGTTTCCTGGCGGACACGGACGGCATGGCATGTGCGTGTCTTACGCTTGTCATTTTTTTTTTACTTGTTGTTGCTCTCCTATGCAGGTGCTGGGCTTATGAGACGGGGGTGCTGCTGGGCAAGGAGATCGACGAGGCGATTCCGTACAACGACTACTTCGAGTACTACGCGCCGGACTTCAAGCTGCACCTAACGCCGGTAAGGGTGTTGTTTCGTGGTATGTAGAACACCTTGCGGCTTTCTGTGATTTTCGGCTATTTTGCTGCGTACAGTTGGCTTCAAGTTGGGGATGGGATTCCCTCGGGGCAAGCGATGATATCCCGTGGGAGTCGACTCTTCCAAGCGACCAAAGGGTTCGAACGGTTGTTCCCCCGTTCCACCGAAACTGATGTGTTCGGGGGAAGATTGTCTGGTGAGAGCAGACGAGACTCGTTCGGCTACAGTGTGCGTGTGGGTTCTTGACGTCCAGTTAGGTGGGGGGTCGGGCTTATCCTGCTTGTATCCCACGACAAAGTGAGCCACGCTTTCATTGCCCCCCTCTTCGTGCTTGGCCCTATGTAAATAGCGAATGCCTGTGACACCGGTAAAACAGTGTAGTTTAGGCCGCGAATTTTGGCATCGTGGGAACAGACGCGTAGCTAACGCCTGTGAATGTCGTGGTCTCATGTCTTCCCCCCACGCGCTCGTGTTGTCGTGGCTTCGTGGGGAACATCTATATGTTTCCTGATCCAACGGCGGCGCGTCGACGCAGTCTCCCCACATGGAGAATCTCAACACACCGCAGGAGCTGGACCGGCTCAAGACCACCGTGCTGCGGCAGCTCCAGACGCTGCAGGGGGCTCCGTCGATGCAGATGGTGGAGGTGAGAGAGCGTATTTGTGCGGCTCTCTACTCTCTATCGGAACGGTTGTCATTGTGAAGAAGACGACGACGACAACAACAACAACAACAACAACAACGACAACTTTTGCGGGGAAAGGGGGGGGGGGGGGGGGGCGGC